GTATTTTCCTGCCCTTGGACTGGAATTGTCATTGACTTTCCTGGTTCTTCGGTCTTCAGGCTTGAACTAAACTACATTGCTGGCTTTCCTGGGTTTCCAGTTTGTAGATGTCAGATAATGAGACTTCTTAACTTCCATGGTCATGTCTGTCTGTCCTCTATCATCACCACTATGCTTCATCGTGCTAGTACTATTTCTTTTTTTCCTTGTTTTTCTTTGTAGTTTATTTAAATGAGAAACTATCTTATTTCACATATCAATCCCAGTTCCCTCTCCCTCCCATCCTCCTATGCTCCCCACTGACCCCCCATCCACTCTACAGGGAGGGTGAGGCCTTCCATGAGGAATCATCAAAATCTGTCAAATTATTTGGGGCAGGGACTAGGCCCTCCCCTGTGTATCTAGGCTAAGAGGGCATTCCTAGGGATATATCCTGGTTTCACTGCCAGAGACCACATAGACTTCCCAGTGCTCCTAGCTGACACCCACATTCAGGGGGCCTGGATTAGTCCTATGTTGGTTCCCTAGCTGTCACACTGGGATCCATGAGTTCTCACTTTCTCAGGTCAACTGTTTCTGTTGGTTTTCCCAGCCCCTCCTTCTCTAGAGCTGGATTCCAGGAGTTTGGCTCAGTGCTTAGCTGTGGATCTCTGTTTCTGCCTCCAACAGCTATTGGATGAAGGCTCTAGGATGGCATTTAATGTAGTCATCATTCTTATTATAGGGGAGGGGCATTTAAGGTAGCCTCTCCGCAATTGCTTAGATTCCTAGTTGTGGTCATCCTTGTGGATCTCTGTACAATTCCTTAGTGCCAGATTTCTCTTTAAACCTATAGTGGCTCCCTCTATTGATGTGTCTCTTTTCTTGCTCTCCTCTATTCCTCTCCCCACTCAATCTTCCTGATCCCTTATGTTCTCTCCCTTCCTTTCTCCCCTCCTTTTTCTCCTCCATCCCTCCCTCTTCCCCCTTACTCACAATTTGTTAAGGGGCTCTTGTCTTCTGATTTAGTGGGAGACCGTGTGTGTCTCTCTTACAGTCCTCCTTGTTTTGTAGCTTCTCTGGAGGTGTAGATTGTAGGCTGGGAATCCTTTGCTTTCTGTCTAATATCCATATATGAGTGAGTACATACCATATTTGTCTTTTTGTGACTAAGGTTACCTCACTTAAGATGGTTTATTCTAGTTCCATCCATTTGCCTGCAAATTTCAATATTCCATTGTTTTTGTTTTTGTTTTGTTTTTTTAGTTTCTGCTGAGTAAATGTACCACATTTACTCCATTGTGTAAATGTACCACACTTTCTGTATCCATTCTTCAGTTGAGGGACGTCTAGGTTGCTTCCAGGTTCTGGCTATTACAAATAACGCTGCTATGAACATAGTTGAACAGATGTCCTTGTCTTGCCCCTCTGCCCTCCGGGGGGAGAGAGAGAGAGAGAGAGAGAGAGAGAGAGAGAGAGAGAGAGAGAGAGAGAGAGAGAGAGAGAGAGAGAGAGAGGTGAGTGGGTGAGTGTCAGGGCTCTCCCAGGCCACCTTTCCCTCTTCAAGTCTTCTGACCTTCACCTGCCAGACCCCCCCCCAGTCACCTTTCTTGTTTTTCTTAGAAGAACTTTTTATAACACACTGGTACCCAAAGTCCCAGTGCTTAATATGGACTTCAATATATAGGGAGGGGACAAATAAGAGAATTCCTTTTCACTGAAAGATGAGATAGATAGAGAGAGAGAGAGAGAGAGAGAGAGAGAGAGAGAGAGAGAAGAGAGAGAGAGAGAGAAAGAGGGAGAGAGAGAAAGAGAGAGAGAGTAGGAGAGAGAGAGAGAGTGGGAGAGCACAAATCTCTTCAAGGGGGTAGGGATGGAAGGTCTTTTGCACTCACCAGGAAGTCTCTATCATTTAAGAACAAGATTTATTTTCCATTATGAATGTGTGTGTGTATGAATGTGCGTGTGTATGAATGTGTGTATGTGTATGAATATGTGTGTGTATGAATCTCTGTGAGTACACTCAAGGGTGCAGGGACCAGGAAGGGGTAATGAGTTTCCTGAATCTGGAGTTATATAAGTAGTTGTGAGCTGCCCAATATGAGTGCTGGATAACTTGGGTAGTATGTAAGGGTTCTTAACTATTGAGGTGCTTCCCCAACCATAGTCTCCATCTGTTTAACTAAAGTCAGCACTGGGTTTGCTATAAAATAGGTATTCATTGAATGAGGGAAGAGGCAAGATGAGTGAAGAACAAGATACACATTTATGTGTGTGTTTAAGTGTATCATGTATATTCATGTTCTAATTTCTTGCAAACGGAGGTGGGGGGAGTACATTCTATATCAGTGGTTCTCAACCTCCCTAATTCTGTGATCCTTTAATACAGTTCCTCATGTTGTGGTGACCCCAACCATAAAATTATTCTGTCGCTGCTTCATAACTGTAAATTTTAAATTGTTATAAATCCTAAAGTAAATACCTGATCCACAGGATATCTGATATGTGATTCCCTCAAAGGGGTCATGACCTCTACAGATTGAGAACTATTGTCCTACTTGTCTACTTGTTAAAGAAAAGGAGAGATGCTGGCCTGGAGGCCTCTCGTTTTGTGATGATGTCTTACTGCTGACTGGCAGAACGGCCAGTGCAGAAGCGAAGGTCCTCAGGGCCACTCAGGGCATTATGGGAGAGACGATGATACAGGGTAATTGCACTGATTACTAATGCTGTGAAGATTTCTCTTGCTTAATAATCCACTTTTAATTTTACCCGTGGCAGTTTGCAGTTCCCACAACACAGCAATAATTAAATCTGTGTTCAGATGGTTGTAAATGTACCCAGAGGTCTTAAGCGATGGGTGAATTATACCCATTTAAGTTAGAACATAATGCTAACATTCAGCCCTCTCAGAATAAATACTAATTACTGAAGTTCCTTTAGGTTCCACTAGACCCCTTTAGTTTCTACTTCTGTTTCCAGAAAGCAAGAGAGATGAGATTCAAACGGCAGGTTTTCATCTCAATATTATAGTAATCACTCCTCTGGTTCAAAATCCTGAGGTCTGGGTATCCAGGTGGTTTATTCAAAGCATGGCTAGGCAATGTGGCTGTTTAAAGGCCTTCCTTGACTGACAGTCCAGAAGCTGGGGGGAGGGAGGGAGTAGTGTTGAGGACACACAGGGCCAGGGCTAAGGAAGTGCTCCTACACCCGCATCTTCTCCTTATATGGTGCTCCTCCAGTGGGCTCAAAGGATGGCCCAGATGTTCCAAAGAAGCCTGTTGGCACCAGGGGGGAAAAGTAATGAATCCTTCTTCCTGGCTCATTCTTAGAAATGTAATTTAGTCCCTTCATTCTAATATTCACCATTTCTCCATTTTAGTAAGGGATGTGAAGAAAGTCTGCTCTTCCTTGGGGGTTTTGGAATTTCACAAGGCTTGGCCTATGGGAGCTGTCTGTGGGGAGTTAAGGCTTCATGCTCTCCCATGTGGTCCCAGGGAGCCAGCAAACATTTATACCAAATGCCTTCTGGCTTAGTATCCACATACTGCCTCATGCTGCTTGGCATTTTTCCCACTTTGACAGTTTGCATTATCATGGGAACTGGCCACTTAACCCTTCCCTAGCCAGGCTCCTACAAACCCCCTTTCCTCTCAGTGGGGCAGAGCCCTTGGTTTACTGCATTTAGTGCAGTCTACTGCTCAGTTACCTGAGACTTTCTGACTTTGTAACCTTACGGAACTAACCGCACAGGGTGAGTGTTTCCCTTGTCAACCTTTCTTGGGACTATTCTCTAGCTAATGTCTTACCTAGTATAAATGGAGGTCAGAGTTGATCTTATGCTGTGCATTAACAGAAAGGTAAAGGGAGAAGGCCTTTATAGGCGACCAAGTGGAGGAAAATGTGACCATCAGAGCCATCATTAGAATGGCTGGTAGTAAACTGGCTGAACTAGTTCCAAGCTGGAGTGATGAAGCCTGGCAATGGCAGGGCTCTGACTGGGGAAAGGCAAGAGGGTTTAGAACTTTGGGTCTGTCACATAGACTCAGTCAGTACCCATAGGTGGCACTAGAGATCTGGAGATGCGGCCATCACAGGGTTGAGGGTGCCAGGAGAACAGCAGGAGGGAGGTATAATGGACCACTGCCATGGTGACTGATCCAGGACACCAAACCATAGATAAGATCAGAGTCTGCCATTTGCTAGCGACCTATTGTGATGGTAGAACAAAGAGTAAGATTAAGAATTCTAAGGATCTGGAGGGAGCAGGTGGGAAAGGAAAAGAGGTACAAAGAAGGGAGGCAGGAGGCACAGAGAGTGGAAGGATGGGGAGGAGAGAAATGGCAAGGCTGTAATGGCAGAAGAGGGACAGAGTGGATCTGGGACACAGGAAAGGGAGCAGGGACACCAGGAACAAGGACAGCTCACTTACAAGGGTGATGCAGAGGAGATATGGGTAGAGGTAGGCTGGTAACTGCTGAGGAGAGGTGTTGGGCCACAGCCCCCATGGGGTCTCTATGAGTTGCTTGTCATCCAATAACCACAGGTGCATCCTGTTTTCTGGTCCTGGCTTACAGCCCTGGCCTTGCCCTACTGGCATCAACCTCTAATTATGAAAACATGAACTCTTACACCTGGGGTTTCTCCACTGTGCTACAAGTCTGTATATAAGGCTGCTCCCTCCTTGCAATAATCTCTCTCTCTCTCTCTCTCTCTCTCTCTCTCTCTCTCTCTCTCTCTCTCTCTCTCTCTCTCTCTCAGCATAAACAGCCAGACATCTCATCTTTCATTTAAATCTCCAGGCTTTCACCCAATACATTAGACTTGTTCATTGCATGGAGGTTCCATCAAGATAGAGAAAGAAAGGGAACCTGAGAGATTGCCTTTGGAGGCTGGCCAGCAGGCAAGGCAAGGATTTATGAAGATGAATTGTTGCTCGTGGCACAGGAGGGGCTCAGAGAAACCAGGGTTTAAAAAAGCACCCCTCCATAAATACCCCAAAGAATGGAGAAGACACATACTTTCCCTTTAGGATCTTTTATTAACGTATAGAAAATGTGTTTAAAAAAGGAACTATACAGAGGCTAAAAGCAACTGGGACTAAAAATACGAGTTAACAATGGTTAACAAGCAGATTCCAGTCTTTGAGCTACAGTGTCATGAAAGGATGGGGCAAGCTGGCTCTCCCTCTTCCTTCCTCTCTAGCTTTTGATTTTACTTCATCAGAGAGTGCATGACCTGACTACCATAGTAATTTACCCCCTTTCTTCCTTTGGCCTTTCTTTTTAAGCAAGAGCCTTTTCAAGTACAGTGTAGCTACAAAGTCAGTAAATTGGTCTTTGTTATTTTTACCTGAAAAGGCTATTAAATGTTAAAACCACAAATTCAAATTCAGAGGGATTGGAGGATTTAGTGCTTATGATTTCTCAGGATGACAACTGAGAAGCTACCAGGTTGAGTTTCATCTGCTTGGAGCCCCAGGTAATAATCCCTCAGAGTCACAGTGACTTGTTTAGGGTATCTGGGAATTCCTGTAGGGTTGAGATAGTGTGTGTGTGTGTGTGTGTGTGTGTGTGTGTTTAGGAGGGAAGAGCATGTATGTTGAGGAGAGGCAGGAGGGAATAGACTCTGGTTTGTGAGCCCCCACAGTGGGGTAGTGAAGAAAGGAGCTGGCAAAGAACTTCTCTGATGGAGGACGGTTTTGTAGGAACTGCAGGGCTTGCTGTATCTAAGGTGCCCCTGAGGAGCCACCACTCTGAGGGGTCCTGAATTCCCTCTTGGGGAGATCTATTCCTTTTAACATGAACTTTAAAGGAGGAGTAAGGGTTCAGTGTTGGAGTTTTTGCCTGATAGTTGAAACCACCAGGTTTCTGATATCTTTCTAAGTCATTCTCTAAAGTGGCAAAGTTAGTCATGGTTGTCGCCAATTGTTCTCCTAACTTCTCATTCACTGGGATATGGAGTAGGAGAAAAAAGTGAGGGAATAAATACATAAAACTTCTCTACTGCCTTCTTGTATCTCCAGGCTTTGCAAATGTCCTCTAATGTGTTCTTCATGGAGCCCTGGTAGTCTGGGAGTGTGTGTGTGTAAATTTTGTCTGTACCCTGCTGATCTTAGCCTAGAAATTTATAGGATGTTTGCATTTGCTGCTACTTGTAGTTTGTTTGAACACTCATAACTCTTTGCAAATTCTAGGGTCAAACTGACACTCTCAGAACTTATACTGTGTTAATTCTGTGTTCACTCTTTCCTTAACCCTGGTTCTGTCTCTTGCTTTAGGCTGAGAAAAAGGTCTATGTTAGAAAGGAGAGAGGCTTCTGTGCTGTCTCAAGACTGGGTTGGAAACCATATTTGTATCCTGGCCCCATCTCCAAAAATTTAAAGAGAATTGCTGCCAGGCTATTTCTTACTACTTCTGACAGTTGGGGATGAGGCTCCTCTGGAGTATGCATGGGGGGAATAAAGCAAGAATTCCCATCTATTAAAAGGAAAAGGAGAAGGAGAGAAGGATGGAGTTAGAAATACCTCAATGAGAATGTTACTGAGATCCAAGATGGCGGCTGCATGGTTAACTGTGTCTGCAGTTTTACAAAGAGGAAAACTCAACGACATTTGTGTTAGTGATGAAGGCTCTCCCCAGAAACTGTGTGATGTCAGACATGTTACTTAAGAATCCTGTGCTTCCATTTCCCTCATTCGTAAACTCTGGACTGTGGTGAGGATTTAGTAAAGTCATTGATGTGAAGACCTTTGCATAGAATCTGATCAACAGATGTACAATAAGTATATTTTCCTCAGTCTCTGTTAAAGGAGAGACAAAACAAACAAAAAATATTGTACCAGGTCTGCCTCTAGTTCTATGCCTCATTGACTGTGGGAACTAGGGCAAGCTGCTTGTCAATTTTGGCCTTGCTTTACTTGGGTATGAAGAGGGTCATGTTAGGTGACTTCAAGTATTTCCTTTGACTCTGAAGGAGTGTTTTTAAATATTTATGGAGGAGACAGGGTTAAGTATGTCAGGTTCAATGACGAATTGTTTAAAGGCAATATGTTTCTCTGGGGGCTGTGACACCACTGACAAGAAGAAAAGAGTTCTCACTAACATCCTCTCAGGCTTCCTTAGTATGGCATGTCTACATCTCAAAGACTCTCATACTTTCTCTTCAGAGCAAGTACCCAGTGACTGTACTCAGGAAAGTACTCATTAGAGGGATTTGAAAGGGATAAATATTTCTAAATTAGGAATTGAATGTTAGCCCAGCCTCACAGCTCAGATAATAGGGTGCTGTTCTAGTAAGTTAATAGAGGGGTCTTAGGAACAAGGGCTGTGTTAAAATGGATACTCTGCAATAGCCTTTTTAAGTTTGGAAAGAGGGAGGATTTTCTGTTTGGAAAAAACACTGTCCAAAGACTGAAGTTTGCCAAGGACATTTGGACAATGAGGTGCTGCAGGTGCAATGAAGTCATGTTTCAGGCACAGAGTGACCTTGAAAAGTAAATCAGAAATGGTTGAGATGACAAACCAGGCTGTGCTGGCTGGGAAAGGAAAACTGAGGTTGAGGCAAGAGTGGATGAGCAGCATAGAAGGATCTACTGCTTCTTGCTTCTGCAGAGTAAGGCTTCTGGTCCAGGCAAAGGGTGGAATCTGAGAGAACTTTGTCTGGAGGCATGAACTCAGAAGCCAGTGCCATTGTCTTTACTGTGGCTACTCACCTGGTTTGTTTCCCCTGTGGGGCCATCTCTAAGATTTGTTTTTATTTTATAAGACTCTATCGGCTTCTTTTATTTAACTTACATTTTTATTTTCTTCTTCCTAACTATTTTCTCAAAGCTTGAAGAAGACAAAACTGGCTTTATCTAAATCCAGCATGGATTTAGTTAGGATGAACCAAAGCCACTCTTTCCAAAGGGACTGAGTCTGCATCAGCACAACCTCTGAAAAACAGGAGTGTTCCTCATTCTGTTGACATCTCTTCCTACTGGACTCTTTCCCTACTTAATTGGAGTCATTTTCATTTGTTCTGTGAGTCCCCATTTTGCCTGGCAGTGCCAAAATACTACACTACTATCAGGAGAGATACTATCACCTATGGGAGAGTTGGGCTATGAAAGAAACAATGGCTTAGGAAAACAGTCAAAGAACTTCAGAAGTTAGTTCTGGGGACCCAGTGGTACAATAAAGAGAAGTCACAAGTCATGGGCCAGAAGCTAGCTCTGTCCCCTTTTCTCCAGAAGAGGGAACCTTGATTGCTTTGCTATCTGAATGAAAGTGGGCCACCCAGGGAGGATGGATGAGAAGCTGAACCCTAGACCTTAAAGATCCACCCCAGTCTCTGGGGCTCCCAAGTCCCTTCTTGTAGTTTGGGCAAGTTTGAAGTAAGCTAGCACAATCCCATCTCCAGAACTGAATTGGATTATTTGAGTCTTTCAGAGTCTTGTTATGGATGTTTCAGAGTGGACACTTGGATGTAAATAGAGGTGGAAAGTGATCTCCACTCTCCCTCTCTGGAGGAGAAGAAACACAACCAGGGAACTGGCTTGACTAGGAATTTTGTGATAAGTGATCAAGGGCTAGAGAAGCACTTACCCTGGGGAAGTGCCCCCACCCTTCTGGAAACCCTGGGTGAAGGAAAAAGAAAAGTCTATGGTGCAGGCGCATTTTCCAATGTGATCATTGACTGCTCTTTTTAAAATCCCCCAGCTTGGTGCATCCACTGTTCTCATGGCTCCCATTTTTCTTTCTCCAGAGAAAAGGACAAGGGGGAACTCATCAAACCTTTCTCAACCGATGCTTTGAAGAGGCTCTTTGAAAAGATTCTCTTGTCCCATAATCTATAGCTCTGCTCTGACACTAGATTTTAAAGGTAAAAATGTATTTAGGGTAGTTTGTTTAGGCCTCCAGCTCACTGGCAAGATGGCCTTGGTACTTTAAGTTTGCCTTTGAAATGAGAGTTTTCTATAAAGGAGGAGCTGATTGGCTCCCCAGTGGAAGGCAATGGGATATTCGGGGTGAATCTCACCTTGTTAGAGATAGGGTATTGCTAGCTGGGAGAAGAGGAAATGTAAATATCCACAGAAGTTTGTTTCATATTTTTCTGCTGTCATGTTGCTGTTCCTTTACAAATCGATGTCCTGTATAAATGAGTTCTGGCTTGGTGTGGGGTCACCAGGAACCCGAAGAACCATGCTGCATCATTCCCCATTTTTCATGAACAGTTAAGTGGGCATCCGGGTGCTGTGAACACCATCTTGTCACCTTTACCAAGGCCCCTTTACCCATTAAGTCTGGTCTGAAGGCCAGTACTTTCTACAGGTGTATCATCCCTGATGAAGAGTCTGGACAGCCAATTACCTTCCAGAAGCAGCCCTGGGAAAATGTGAATTCAATATGCAGGAACAATTGACAGCAGGGCACACACAGAGGAAGAGCAGAGTGGCCTGGTTCTCGACTCTGGGGAGTAAATGGCAGTCACTAGTGACTAGTTGTTTTTGTTGTTGCTTGGGTTTTCTTCTAAGTGTGTTTTCTAAAGTGTCTGCCCACTTCAAGTCATTCTGAGTCTGAGTCCCTTATGCAAAAGTTGGGTGCTTGGATGGGTGCTGAGTGTTGCTGCCTGCCTCCTCAGGGACAGAACCAGGTGCGGGAAGGAACGGACAGTAAAGCGATCTGTTACGAAGCCCAGTGCAGAGGTTAAGTCAGTCAAGTTCAGAAGCTATGAGTCAAGCTTGCTGTCAGTCTTGAGAAGACAATGGGATGCACAGTCTCTTCAAAACAGCGTTTGGGGTGGGGCTCGCTACTTAACAAAAAGGGATCTATAGGTCCTTTTTCAGAAGGTTGGCTGAGATGATCTTTGAAGTTCCTTCCTTACTTTAAAATTCCTTTAAATGATTCTAGGTGATGCTGCCGATGCTATTTATAAAAATGTTCCACGGGATAAAATAGTTCCAATGAAAGGCAGTTTTGGATTTCCATTGATGTTTCTTGATTTTCCCTGGAACTGATGACACGCAATCTTGTTCCATTTCAGCTCCCTTGATGAGATGGGCTGTACGGGCACACCCAGGCCCTTGGCTCTTGCACAGGCATAATGACTTCATCTTCTTTTTTGTTCTCTCTCTCTCTCTCTCTCTCTCTCTCTCTCTCTCTCTGTGTGTGTGTGTGTGTGTGTGTGTGTGTGAGAGAGAGAGAGAGAGTAGTTAGTTCTGAATCTGTCTCCTTCCTACTCGTTCCTTCCCTGCCTCCATCTCCTCTGGAATTCTGACTTTTCCTTCATTGTGATGGTTCACCAAGGCCAATTTTTGTCCTGCTTTTCCTATCACAGATTAACATATTAGCTGTTAAAACTGAAGTGGTGTTATAAATTCTTTTGGTCTAAGCTCTGATTCAGTGGGTAAGGAACCTGAGGCCCAGAAATGTGAATAAACCCATCAAAGTCTTGTAGCTGGCATGGTGGTAGAGATGGCCATATATCACAACCCCCAAGTCCCTCATTGAATGTGCTTACCTCCGATTCGGCATGGTTGGTCTGTAGCTAGTTAAATCTCATATAACCTATAGGCTCCTCTTTATTCCTCCTTCCCTTAGCTGTTTGAAGTTCACGTTGGATTAAGAAATGAAAATTCCACTTGTACAGTTTGACCTTGAGTGTGGCCATGAGTCTCCATCACAAAGATGGAGAAGGCTGCAGAAAGTGGCAAGCTAACTCCAACTTCACAATGCTAGGCATGAGATTAGCAATGACGAGGACTGTTGCTTCCAGGTCAGAGCTTGGTTAGATGGTGGCTGTTCCTATTACAAAATGTCCGCTAATCCTGTAACTAGCTGGCAAAGGTACAAGATGCCTCAGGTGGCAACCATGGGCCCTATAGTGGACACTCTGGGGCCTCAGGTAGGAGAGGGAGAAATCAGCTGAGACACTTGGCACAGTTTGGCCAGATGCTGCAGGGAAGACCAGCTGGTTTTTATTCAAGGAGAAGCTGAAAGGTCATGGCTTCTATAGCCTCCAGTTCCCCGGGGCTTAAAAATCAAATCATGTGGGAGTGGAGAGTTCACGCCTCTCACCTTTGGAGTTCTAAATGCAATTTCCTCTGGCACTTTTCATCTTTCTTCTCAAAGCAGAATAATAAAAGGGGATGGAAAATGTCTACCGTGATCTTACCTCACTGAGCGGTGGCTTCTTCCTACCACAGGATCAAAACAAACAAAAGACCAGAGCCAGCATCCCCTCCCAGGGCTTTCAGTCAGGAGAATGGCTGATGGTCACACAGATTTTTGCCTTGATTCTTATTAAGTCACTTGCACTGAGGATATAGCCTGGCTGAGGACAGAACTAGAGACTTCCAACTAGGACACCAGGGGAAGGAATCCATGGTAAATCTGATCAGAAATGCAAACAAGCAGCTCTAAGAAAGGTGGGACTTACAGTGGTACTTACAGATTCCCTGATAGGTGCCCTGGTTTCTACTCCCATCCTTTCTCAATGCCTGATGCAAACACGCTAGAAACAGAACCCTTCCCCAGTCTCACCACCTAAGAAGGTTATTCCATGACAGTGGCTTATGACACCCAGGGGCACAGCTATTTTATAACCCGGGGCTGGGGACAGACAGTTTTTGGCAACTGGAGTTCTAAACAATGGTTGGGTTGGTAGGTCTATAGAATCTAGGGGGTAGAACTAGGGGAGGGGTGGGATTGGAAGAGAGGAAACTCCTCCTCAGAGTTAAGTGTCAGAATGTGGGCATCTTTAGCCCATTTCAATGAACTTGGTTGGGCTGTTGTATTAGGGTGTGCTGGGCAACTTTCCTCTTAAAAGGAGACTGGTCAAGCTTCTCTCAGCTGGTGTGGCTAGCTGGCCATGGTCAGCTGTGGCCAGTTCACTATTACTTAGAAGTTGGAAAGTGTCTCAGAAGGGAGGGTAGAAAAAGTAGGTGTGTGTGCCTGTTGCTGTAACATTCTGTTCTTCGTGACCTAGTTTTGAATTGTAGTTTAAACCCCCCAGTTTTCCTCTTCCGAGAAAGGGGGGAGATGATTAGGGAGGACCGATTAGCAGGGAGCATGTATCCCAAGGGTCAGGCTCCAAGGCAGCAGAAACTATGAGCAGATGGTACCTAACTGATCCCTGCTTCCTTCAGATAGTCTGAATATGTTGTGAAGCACATTACTTGATGCCCCACCCCCCTTGTCTCATATTATAAAATACAAACAAGTGACAGAAAAGATCGTCTGGCTGGTGGCTGGCTGCCCAGTGCTCAGAATTTCAAGGCTCGTCGTTTCCTCCCGGCTGTGAGACGGTGGTTGTAGGGCCTCATCTTCATTTCTACAAAGGGGATGGAGAATTCATGGCCTTTCCAATGGTACCAGTTGATCCCCTGAGTGTGAGAAAGATGAACGTATCAGAGCCCCGTTCCCCCACAGCTTGAGAAGAGGAGAATGACTGGCTGGAGACCTAGTTCTTCTCAGTCAACAAGCGGCTTATGGCAGACTTCCCAGTGTGAAAAAGAGAACTGGGTCTCTTTCCAGCTTTCCCCTTAAACAGGCCTGAGTCTTTATAGAAGGCAAGTCGTGACTCATTTCTTATTGCCAGTTTTATGCTTTTGCCTCCAGGAGTTTCTTGTATTAGGGGGTTGTGGTGTCAAACTCCCAACTAGGTGGAAACATTTTGAATAGTGTAATCTTGGACAAATCATTTGTGATACAGAGACTGGAGTGGTTTCCAGCTGGGGTGAGCAGTCTCTGGGGTTTGCCAAGAACCTAAGGGGGCTTCCCTGACTATATTCTACTGTTTTTTGTCACTTAGCCAAACTGTGGACTTGCAATCTCTTGAGGAGGTAGCTCAGATAACTTATATTCTGATCTCTTTCTTTTGGGACCCCTTCTTAGAGTGGCATTAAGCTAATGATGAATTGATGAGCTCCTTCCACAAAGCTTTTTAAAGGGTCTTTGCTCAGCCTTAGAGTACTACTTTTTAAATGGGTTCTATGCTCTGGATCACTCTGACCACAGCCAGAACATGGGTTACCTGACTGTGCCTGGACTCCCCGTACTTCCCGTTGAGGTTGGTCCGGTGGCAGTTCTTATACCACCAAGCACCCTTGTAGGACATGGCACAGTTGGTGACTGCAATATCATTGTCTCTGTCCTCTGTGGAAAAAGGGCGTCCCTGGTGATAGCTGAGGGAGTCTCCTGCAAAAAAAAAAGAAAGAAAAAAGAAAATCAAAACAAAAGCATCAGGAGGCTGTCCCATTTGCTGTGGACATCTGGTTTCCACATGGAATCCTGGCTTACCTCTCTTGCTCCTTCTGAGATGAAACATGCTATGATGAACTTTTCTACTTTTCTTTCATATTACCTCATGGGGCAGGGGAACAGAGGGTGTCCATGTTTCCCTCTATAATCTGCCTTTTCACTACTGAGATTTTACTGGGAACTTTATCCATATAGCACTATTGTAACACCTTTGTCTATTTCTCCTGACTATTCTGGGACACAGAACAGTCATATTCCCATTATGTCCTTTGGCAACAGCAAGGAACCATGACAATAACTTGGATTATTCTGGATCGTCTATTCCTGCTTGAAAAAGGCAAGAAAGATGTCTTCCTTTCCCCTCATAAATATCATCTTCACCGCCTTTATCTCAGGTCATACTCATATCCATTATCTTAAAATGATTGGTTCAATTATATTCGCCAGCAACCCATTCCTGAACCATCAATTCATTGACTGGGTGTGTCTACTCATATTCCTATCATCTCTCCTTCTGCAAACTAGAATATATCCTCATTATTCTCCTAACAGTTCTCTCTGGTTTCTACTGTCATGTTGCCAACCAGTTGTTTCAGACATAGTCCCTTTGATCTTTGTATCCTCCTCTTCATTTATGCCTCATACATCTACCTCATATATTCAAGACATGTACTAAATCCTGGTTTTCTTTCTTGAGCCTCTGTTCAGATTCATACCTTTTCATAGCTCTGACGTTAGTGAGGTCTCCTGTTATCTCCCACCAGGATTAATACAGCAGTCACCAGTTGGTCTTTCTGTTCTTCACTCAGCTCTACTTTATGCTGCTTGGGGTGGACTGTCCTAGAGAGCTTTCTAAAATCCAAATCCCATTATGCCACTACAGACTTGCAAGACTTTTCGTCACATAAAGACTAAATTTCTCCTTCAGTGTCAAGACTTTCCAGAGTTATTCTTTCTCTCTCCTTTCCTCTCCCTGTCCCTCTTTCTTCCCCTCCCTCCCTCTTCCCCTTTACCCTCCTCTTCCTGCTTTCCTACCTGAGTTGCCTCTTCTTTTTTACTCCATCTTACTATATAGCCCAGGCTAGCCTTAATGTTCAATCTGTCCTTCTCAGCCTTTCATATGCTGTAATTATAGTTATGTGTCACTTCTTGATCCTTCCAATCATATGGCTGGCCCAAGGTAGTAACCCATTAAGCTTACTCTGCCTACTGAAGCTAGTCCTTCTATGACTTCTTGTCCACAAGATGTTTTCCTGGTAGTGAATTCAAATAGGCAAAATTTAAAGATCCTTCATCTACCATCCAGACACCCTTCTATGAGTATCCCTAACCTGAGAGTGCTATTTAGTGCTCAAAGAGCTATTCCCCAGTGTTTTCTTACAGAATCCCCAAACCAGGACTGTAAGCATTGCTCTGCCTTTACTGATGACACAGCTTGGAAGTCTCAGTTTGAATCTCAGTAGAGTTCTATTTAGATAGTCTTGGAGGTTGAGGACCTTCAAATTTGGAGAGAAGGGTTGCACTTGGACTGGAGGTCCTGGGGTTGCCAGTGAGGCCAGGAGAAGTGGTAAGAGCCAGAGGAATTGGGAACTGTTGCAAATGCCAGGAAGAAGAGGTCTTGGTTTTCTATCCCAGTATGAACTGTGTGCAGTTGCCTAGAGATAGAGTAGCCTAAGTAAACCCAGGGTTTTATCTATTGAAGAAGGTGAACTGGATATATAAGGTGACAGATGAATCATTGTTAATATCTATGAATGACCAGCCAAGCTTTACAAAGCTCTGGCCTCTGAAACAAGGGAGAGGTATGTGGTCTCACAGTCTGGCCTCTGTGGGGGTGCATCAGAAAGACTGGGTTGGGAAAGAGGTTTCCAGGGCTACATCCAAGGTAGATAGATAACATATGGGATTGCAGAGAGAAAGATAAAGAGGAGGGATGAGGGGAGACAGAGACTGAGGTAGAGATGGCTTGTTTCTCTTCCCATAGGAGAAACATGAAAAGTTTCTCTGTAGGCACAATTCTAATTCTAGGGAGTGAATAAGTATCCATTTAGTTTTTGAAATGATTTAGTCTGACATCTTGTTTAATGTCCATTTCAATGGCTGTTTTATGCTCAAAGTGTGGCAAATTGGGCCTTTTGTTGGGGCTCTTCAGGCTTCTGTGATTGCCACTGTGAATGACTCAGCTGTGAACAATAGCAAAGGTAAGTGTGTCTTCTCTTTAGAATAACAATACCTGGCTGAGAAAAGGAAATAATGGAGCAGATGCAGTAATTGGAAGGGTAACACCTTGATGTTCATTTTAATTCCAAGAGTCATAGGAAATGCTGCTAAAATTAAACACCAACATTTAGCTCTAAAATTAGAGAAATGAAATGTCCAATAACTCCATGTACCAAACAGTAGCATACCCGGTACAGCAGGCTTCATGAAATGTACTGTAATAGAGCACATTAGGCAAAGGGATAGTTCGGGTGATGTGTTCTCACAGAACTGTGAGTACATAGAGCAAAAACAGATGGTTGTTCTGCTTGGTAAAAATGCCATAAAAATCAACACTGGAAACTAAACATGGTATACGGTTCACTTGGGAGAACAAAGAGACATTTAAGCAATGTCCTTTGCTCCTTCATGGGGTGCTATGATGACTGCTAATGTTTGGGTGAGGGGGGTGCACTGGCTAGTTTTGTGTGCCAACTTGACACAAGCTAGAGACATCAGAGAGTAAGGAGCCTTGGTTGAGGAAATGCTTCCATGAGACCTAGCTGAAAGGTGTTTTCTCAATGGAGAGGGCCCAGCCCCTCGTGGGTGGGGTCATTCTTGGGCTGGTGGTCCTGGGTTCTATAAGAAAGCAGGCTGAGTAAGCCAGGAGAAGCAAGCTAGTAAGCAGTTCATCCTATGGCCTCTGCATTAGCTCCTGCCCCCAGGTTCTTAGCCCTGCTTGAGTTTTCTGTTCTGCCTTCCTCCAATGATAGACTATTATCTGGAAGTGTAAGCCAGAGAAACCCTCTCTTTCCCAACTTGTTCTTTTGTCATGGTGTTCCACTGCAGCAATAGAAACCATAAGACCAGGCATATCTCAAAGAATGGGGACTCTGAATTGTTTCATTAGTTCAGAGGTCATTTTTCCTAGAGGCTTTGCAAGGAGATGTCTACTAAGATGAGAAATAATTATACCTTCTTTAAATGGGAGCCTACATGAGTTAATCTAGATAAGACAAGCAACCCTTTGCTCTCACATTACATTCTTTTCAAGTAAACTTCACATACATACTTACTGGGTTTACAGCAATTTTTCTGACTATTCTGTATAGTGGGGCAGATATCACTATTATAATTTTTCATGGTAGAAAACTAAAGTTCCAAGAAATTGACTCCAGGTCTCCTGAATGGTTAGGAGGAATCAGGCCTGGAACACACACCCACTGCCCATGGGGTCAGCAAGGGGCCCATGGGTACCTGCAGTGCCGTTGTAGCTTCCTATGCGAAGCTTGTATAAGCTTCTGCTGTCCTCTACAGCAAACTTGTCATAGTAGGCAAAGGCTGTCTCCTGTCCATCCCGCATATCAACACGAAGCTCATAGCGACCCTGGGCTGTTATCCTGTGGATGTTGTCTAGCCCTGTGGAGAAGAACAGACAGTGTACTGAGTCTTGCCCAAGCACCTTTGGCAATGGGAGGGAAACACATGCTATGGAGACAGCATTGGTCATCCACATTGTTCTGTCCTCCATCCTTCTCAGGGTGGTTTCAAAGAGACCCTGCTAGATTATGACTGTCCTCTTGTGACGAGGTCACTCCAGGTCTGCTGAGGAGTGCCACCTCAAAAAACATTGGATCCTACCATCTAGTCTTGACCTAGTAACGGTCAAGCCTCAAAGCTCAACATTCTTGGTCCCGTTTCCCAAAATCTTCTGTGTTAAATTATGGTAGCAAAATCTCAAGAAGTCTTGAACAGGTGTGATTCTTTTGGTTTGAGTTGTAGGAAGCAACAGGTGGAAGCACTGAGTTCCAGAGTCTCTCTGCCTTTCTATTCCAGATGCTATGTGACTGTTGGCCTCCAATTCCCTCTGTCATGCCTGCAACGTGACTGTTCACCTCCAATTCCCTCTGTCATGATGGCCTGCGTCCTCCTGCTAAGATTTCTCTTTCCAATTTTTGAGTTCTATAATATGCTTCTCAGTCAGTCTGCCTGATCACATTTTCTTACTTATCTGGCTTGTTCCTTTCATCTGCTCAGAGGGTCTCTTTCCTGTTCCTCCTCTTTCCCATTCTCCTGATCTTTCGGTCTCTGATACCTGGGACTGTTTGTCAGTAGTTCATCAGTTAATCTGGTTTGTAAAAGGGCATTTCTGGTGATATGAGGCAAATGTGGGAACAAAGAACTAAATAACCTTGAACAAACAGGGATAGTTGCACATTCCAGTTCAACTTTTCTTAAAAGAGGGAAGTGAAACCCAAGCCTTGACCCTAATCTTAACTCCCAGTCTGGGTTTTATCCTAGTATTTCATGGTTGGTTGAACACGGAGCACTTTCTGATCACCATTCAAGAGCAGCAGCAGCAGCAATAGACTTGGTGTTCCTGCATGTAACTGTCATTTAATCATATTAATATTGCTTTCTTTTCACTTTTCATCTTTAAATGATACTTTTACTTTTGAGGCATCCTCTTATTTATGGCACACAACAACCACCTTTCCATTTTGGCAATGGATAAAGCTTCCTTAAAACATATATTTAATTAAATAGAAAGTGATATATAGAACATTTAAGTGCTGAATAGTTCACATGTTTCACAGAAATGATGGAAACTGTGAAACCAGGTACATGGTGACTGAGGTTTCTGTAGCCATGAGTCTTGACTACTTATGTCTACATTGATTCATGTATATTACTGACTCCCAAGCTGTTTGAAGATGTTTTAAATCAAAGCACATTTTCCTGCTTGTTTGAATTCTCTCTTAGTGGGTTTATATGGTTCTTACTGTGCATTTTTATTTCCCATATTGGCAAACATAGATTTGACTATCTAACAGATACTCAATAAATTCTTACCATTAATTTATATTTACACTTGAGGTACATATGCCTTAGGAAGTCTTAGGTAGTGATGTTTAAAACTGAATTGTGAGAGCCTGGCCCAAGAAGCATCCGATAGAGTCTAGACAGATAAAGTAAAATACCATGATTCAAGCCATAGTGGAACATGGCCAATTATTCCACAGGCAATGGATGAAAAAAAGCCAGTATGGCTTCTATGGAGGAGGAGGTGCTTAAGTGGGCCTTTGGATATAGGTAGGTATACATCAAGGTGAGGAAGGGACAACTGATTGAAGAGTGTTTCTTGCAGAGGAAACTTCCATGGTTGTGCAGGTTTGAAGGGCGGTGCTGGGGAAGTGAGATGGAAGACAGTGAGGTGCTTAGTGGTGGAGAGAAGGATCTAGAAGGGGAGAGTAGGAAGTCTTGTACCTTTACTAGGTGATGATGGGAGTCACTGAAAGGCTTTACCAAGCTGTGTTATCCTTCCTTTAGATTCAGGCTATGAGGAAGCTCATTTTAGGGCCATGTAGACAACAGGGTTACCCTGAGGGCAGGGAGCCCATTCCAAGCCTCTTAGTTGGCCACCATGGGAAGATGCTGAGGCTTGAAGAAGAACGTGGCAGGAGAGAGAGAGTGCAAGTAGCTAACATCATCATTATTTGCCTTTCTGTCTGCCTCCCCTTATCAACCATTAGGAAAATCTCACAGAGAAACATGGGCATTCACACTCTGACTGTTTATGAGCCAGCACCAGCAGTCTGGCTTGAGTGTGTTTATCTTCCTGGACCCACCTAAACTCCATCTAAACGTCCCGCTGTGTCAGTCCTCCAGGAAATCACCTCTAATGTCACTCTCATTTTTTTTTCCTTTCCATGCCAAGTCAGATAATAACACTCTCCCAGGAACCCAGCAGAGTCTCATTTCTCTCTGGACCTACAGGCTGACTAGCTGGATGCCTAGCTTCTGAGACAGGGCCAGCCTGTCCATTGCTCCCTGTGCCCCGTTCCCTACCAGGCAGATTCCTGCCTTTGTACTTGCCTCATGTCAAGATCCATCAGCATAAAAGACTATTAATGAGGGTGGGAAGAGACAGAGCAAAGAGGAAAACACCACAGTTAGATAAAAACAGATCAATAGTGGAGCCAAACGGAGCAAGAGGCACAAAAGCAATTCACGAGCTGTCAGCTTCTCAATGGACACAGACTTCTGACAGTTCCAGGCAGACACAGAAAGGAGAGAGATGGACATAAACCCAGGGCAGCCTGTGCAGGGAAAACACAAAGTGGATGTTACCTAGCCAAAACTCATCCTCCAGATTCCCAAAGCCAACACGATAATCAGCCCATTTCCGGAAAAAATCAGTTTGGCCGTTCTGCCGCCTCTGGAATACCTGTGAAGAGAATGAGAGGAGAGTCCGTATGACTGGGTACTGTATTGGCTAGCATCAGGACCATTTCAGAAGTGAGCTTCATATTTTCATGGCAGATTTTGCAGGGGATGCTCAGAGCCCTTTTCTTGAAGTGCTGATGCCTCTGACAAATAGGCTAGGGGTGTGATATCGACTCTAATTTGCACCCCTGTGATAGAGAAAAGATTCAGGATACATATCAAGCTCCAAATAGTCAGGGGAAATGGGCTTGATTCTCAAATTAATCTCTTTGCACCACAGAGAGTAGTAGAAAGTATTTCTCACCAAAGGACTGGGACCAACTTCAAATCATCTAGTCACTGTCATCATCTTATTGCAGGCAAAGCAATTGCATATCATTCACTTTCCAAGCTGTTTAAGTGCTAATTTCATTTAACCTCCAATACATCAGCCTTGGCTTCAATTTCCAATTATGCATTAAGAAGGAGGCACAAATATGTCAGAAACATAAAAGAAAATGTCTCCCAAGAGTATTATGAGTGCAGTCAACATTTAACTCTTCAAAACCTCCCTGTTTTGGAGCATTAGTGTTCCAGTGCTGTATCTGAGCTGTGCAAAGAAGGGTGGGTACAGGAGGGTGGGCAGGGCTGTTTCTATCCATACTGATTCAAGCCCTGCTGTTCAGTTTAGAGCCAGCTTCAGGTACTTGCTCAAGTGTACAGTGGCTAGCACCTCCAGCTGCCCTATTTCTTCTGCTCTATGCTAGCCTATCAGGTATGAGGGGAGATGGTGTCAGCAAGTAGTGTCCCTCTCCCAACCACTGTTGCTCCCTGAAGACCATGACAGCTCTAGGGAAGAACTTGGGATTCAGAATAGAATGAGGACACAAGCAGTTCTTGTAACTAGGGGGCCATCCATATTCTGCCTCAGATCTTATCTGCCATATGCTACCCCCAAGATAAGGAAACTAACTGCCTCACCATGGGAGGCTCAAGTGCTTCTGTATGGTGGCCACCACCTCTTCATTTTAGCTCCAGCCCTTGGCAAGCAGGATCCATGTGCCTCATTCTTTCCCTTCCCCAGCACCCCCTGCATTCACTCTGTTTGCAGAAAGAGCCCAAAGCAAGGCAGTCATCTTAGAGCCCTTCTTTGGGCCAGGCTATTGCATCCTTCATATGTATTCTGGTTGGTTTTTATTGTCAACTTGACCTAACACAGAGTCATTTGGAAGAGGAAACACCAAATGAAGAATTGCCTCTGCTAGGTTGGCATGTGGCTGTGTCTTTACTGAAGTGGAAGGACCCAGCTCACTATAGTACCGTCCTGAGGGTGTGGGGCTGGGCTATGTAAGAAATCAAGTTGAGCATAAACCAGTGAGCCAATAAGTAGCGTTTCTCCATGCCTTCTGTTTTAGTTTCTGTTCTATTTCCAGCCCCAACATCCCTCAATGATGGCCTATGATCTGAAAGTATAAGCCAAATAAACACTTTTCTCCCCTGTGTTGCTTTAGGTCATGGTGTTTATCATAGCAACAAAATGAAACTTAAAAAAACAAAACAGGGTCTTTTATTTCCCTTCTTGTGAGTGGGCTCCTGAATGAGGGCCTTGAAGCAGTGAAGAGACCAAGGTCCAAATGAAGGGGTTAGTTAAAAGGACAGTCTAAACAGATAGTGACATTATAATCCACAGGTACTCAGCCAGGTAGACGAGAAGCCTGAAGACGTGCCTACAGTGTGTACTTACAATCCAGCCGCCCCCATCTGTGGTCATGTCACAGTATACTTGCAACTTGTGGCTTAGCTCGCCATTGAGGAAGACGGTGTAAACTCCACTCAGAGTATCTCCGTTCATCAAATGCTGAGCACAGTCTTGAGGATGAGAGAACACCCGGCCCCCTACAGAAGAAAAGCAATTGATAATTTTATATTTAGTGTGTGTGTGCGCGCTCACACGCATTTGGAGACAGAGGACAACTTGAGGGAGCCAGTTGTTTCTTTCCACCATTGGGTCCTGGGGATGGATCTCAGATTGCTAACCCTGAGCAGCAACTGCCCTTTACCTACTGGTCATCTGATGAGCCCCAAAGCAATGAATTGTTCCTTTTCCATTAGGCACAAGAACCCTTGGGTGAGAGGATGTGCTAAAAAGTTTTGTGGTTGGTCTGTTATCATGAATGTAATTCACGATGTGCGGGTGTGAAAGTCAATGTGTGGATGTGAAACCTAAACTCATGCTGCACTTCAGGACTCCGAGGACCAAAGGCTGAGTTAGTGGTCGAGATTCTCTGCTTATCAGTTTGCTTGACTAAAAGCTAAAGGCCTTGAACATTCACTTTCTCATCAGTAAAATGGGGGTAATAAATACTTCCCCCTTGCAGCATGAAAATGAGTTAATGCCATTGATGACTGTGTAGAGATGGGCCAGGGGACCATTGTAGGGATCACCTCTCAAAAAGACAAAGGCATCTGAACAAAGTCTTTGTTATCTACATGGCAGCCATTAAGGAAGTTCCAAATAAGCTCAGAGTCAGCATAGAGATGAATGTCTATTCCCTGTACAAAGCAATCTCTTGATTGTACCAAACAATCAAACAGCCATGTTTTACAGTTCAGTTTAAATTTAAGGAGAAGGCAGGGGAAGTAAATTGCAGCTCATCTTTCAGAAGGAACAACCCAATCTGTAAAACAATACCTAATTAGCTGCAAGAGAAGCTTAAATCTTGGAGCACTTTTCTCTGAGATAAGTTGTGTGCTTATCAGGAGAGCCGAATGGTCTACTAGGGGGAGTCTGCTAAGAAGGCAAGTTAAAGGCACAGGCTGCCATGTAAGGAGTGGTGGTTGGGGAACTCTGTAAATGTGGGCTTCTGGGTCCATGAAGAATGTGGTCACAAGATACAGCTCTGTGTTTCTGTGTGGAACTGAGACAGACAAAAAGAGAGGTTGAGGCAAGAAAGTGGGTGTTGGCTAACACAGCCCCTTCTGGTGGTGTTACTCACACATCACGGGTGTCACACCATCTCTTAGAAAGGCAGGACAGTGGACTGTTTAAGCAGAGCATGTCACACAAGGAAAATGACACACTAACTTTCGTGAGAGTCCCCATCACAGGTTATCTATAAAGCATTCTATGTTAGGAAGAGGCTACTGGTCTTCATGCAAGTCCCCCAGCCCCAACCCAGCCAATAGACCCAGAGATATATTAACTCTGAGGACCATACTCCAGATTGCTACCACAGGTTTGCCAAAATGGTTTGGTAAAACAAGACATTTCAAGAATAGTCACACCGAGAACTAGTGATATGTTTCTACAAAAACTCATAGTTTACAAAGTCTATTAGTATTTCTATTTAATTCTTGTGAGAAGCCTTAGAGGGAAACAGGTGGATATAGATCTGAAGCTTATTTTAACCGTGAAGGCAAACTGCTCGGGAAGATTACATGATTGGCTTATTCAGGAGACTTGAATTCAAATTTTCAGAGCCCAAGTCAAGTGTGCTGTAAAATGTATTAAAACAAGAAATACATCCCTGGGTGGAGAGATGACTCAGTGTTTAAGAGCATCTGCTGCTCCTTCGGATGACCCATGTTTGGTTCCCAGCACTCACATCAGATGGCTCACAACTACCTGCAATGTCAGACCTAGGGGATCTGACACCCTCCTTTGGTCTTTGTGGACATCTGCACATATGTGCTATATACACATACACAAAATATGAAGTCTTAAAAAGCAAACCTTTAAAAAAGAAATATAACCTATGCTCCAGTTTGTTGAGGATCTTCTGTGTAACATAATTGATTTTTTTTATTTAACATATAAGTACAAAATACTCCAGGTGATAGTGGCCTCCAAAAGCACTATGTTCCAATTAAATGTGCTCCCTTAACTGGCTCCTATAGTCACTGCAGAAGAGCTATTGACTTTTATTTACAGTATGTCCTAGACCTCTGAAAATGCCTATCTCACCTATCTCTGAAGGTTAGTTTCATTTTAGGGGACAACCATGAGTGGCTTCTGTCCCCTCTCTGTGTTGCCTTGAGAACACTGGCCTTATTTCCAGTTGGCCAGGCTATTCTTGACCCTGGTCTCTACAGCAACAACGTGCCTACTTGCCCTTCCCCTCTCCTCCCTCGCTGCCTGTGGTTCTCCTCTCTGATCAGCACATATAATGTTCCTGGGCTCCAGCTCACTGCTGCTGTATGCACTATTTCTCCCAAAGGAAGAGCTCCTCCTTAGACCAGCCCAGCTTCTTAGGGAGACAGCACTCTTATTTCTCAGTACTTCATGGGTCCCCCACAAAAAAATCTCTTTCCCAAACTCATTCAAATATACATTTAAAATCAAACACACCTTGAGACTAGAGAAGCAAGCAATTTTACATAAGTTCCTTCTCCTTCATTGATAATGACTAAAATTTATGTTATAGATACTTTATGAGGGTATCAAATCCATTATTAGTTCTTCTAAAGTTAGACCTAATGTAGGCACATGTAATAAATTAAGATGACTTGCTTTGGAGAAGGGAAATTTTAAATATCTAAGTAGCTGTCATAAAAGAGACATTCACTTATTTTTAAAGTTGGAAGATAAGAATAAGTATCTAAGGCATGCCAAAGATGGATGGGATATAGGTCTCAGATGATCCTCGGGAGAGGAAGGACCATATGCCCCTCTTTCTGAGCTCCCATAGTATGCTGGCAGGTGGAGGCACTGTCCAAGTATGTGGGAGGTTGATGCATAGTCGCTAAGTACACTTGCCTTACCCTTGACAAATTACAAGGCCATCTGCTTGTTAATAGATTCGATTTACTGTAATTTAGTCTATGGCATTAGTGGAAAGGCAATCAAGAAGCATTTTGCTTTTATAGATGATCAGAAGCAGCAACCTGGGATTTTCCTTCCCTGGAAACTTGGAGATGATGGGACATGAAGTTTTCCTCCATCCTGCTCCAGCCTTGAAAGCATCCCAAGCTTGTCTCAGAGTCACTAGTCCCTTTAATCTTACAAGAGAAAGCAGAGGCTTGCTGAGAGCTCTCAAGTTATGTACTTTAATATTGTTCAGATTCCTGTGTTCATTCCTGCTCTACTGCATCACAGTGTCAAGAAGAGAGATAGGCTCAGAGGCCAGTATCTTACCAAAGTGCTTCCGATAGAGCTATTCAGAGCATACATGTTTCTCTTCTCAGAAGCCAAGAGGTGGAAATGGTAAATGAGATGATGGTTTGGAGGTCTCTAGGCCAGCCCTCCCTACTTAGATCATATGACTGTGTGGATAACACAGAATTAATTTTTCTCTCCCTCCTCTCTCACACACATCTCCCTGTCTCCCCCTTTTCTCTCTCTTTCTCTCTTTTCTTCTTAATGCTCTTTCTTCCTCAGTAACCATATCCTGGGCACTCCACCTTTCAGTTTGGGTGGTATGGGGAGGGATATTTCACCTTGAGTTTAAACCTTGTGACCTGTCCAGCCTTTACCATTTCTCCTTGCTGCTTTGGAGGTGTTGAACTTTGGCTAAGTTAACAATTATAAAATCTCTCCCATGTTCTGATTGACTTGTTGGGTTATGTGCCCAAGTTGGACCTCCTATGTTTTAGAGGATTATCAGGGCTGATCATAGGCATCCTTAGTTCTCTGGGTGCCATGTCATATAATTAGAGACCTACCTTTAATGCTGAAACTTATTATCCTAATACTTTTTCCGACCAAGCACATAACCTAGGAGGTTTTTCTTCCTTTTGGTGCAGTAACTTGAGCCTAGCTGAGTAAGATGGCCTTTTTTCCTTAAAAGCTCAGGTTATGGTGATTACCAAGTTAGAGGGAAAGAGATGCCAGGTGATCACTACACTGAAATGTCTCCTGATTAAGTATTTCTAGATGTAATTGTGAGATCTACAGGCCAGGGCATTCAGTGGAAGGATTGCTCTGAAATTCGTTTGTGTTGGGCATCAGAGGCTGCATGCAGGATGAAGAACAGCTATCTTCCCAAGCCACAGGGCAATTGGATGGCTCTGAGCCAGTGGGGAACAGAAGAGCCTTCTCTGTCTCTTTCCAGCCCTCACTTGTTTTGTGTCCTTGGGCACATGCAATCTTTAAAATTTAAAGATTTAATAGATCTAGAGTGCCTCTGCCTGCTGTCTTCTCTGATGGACTCAGTATAATAACTCTAGAGAGCCTCTGCCTGCCATCACTCTGATGGACTCAGCATCAGAGCAAAGCAGTGACATCAGAGTGTTTCTCTGAGAACAGCTACAGCAGGTTTCTCAGTAAATGCAGAACAAAGTATGTTTCTCCACCGAGTCATCTACCATGTTAAAATTAACAACCCATACTTGCAAAGTAACTGATAAAACTTTGGGGTCCAGCCTGAGTCTGTGGACAGAGCCTAGCTGTCAATCAGCTCATATGAGCTTAATCTATCACTTCATCTTTCTCAGAAAGTCTTGTTATTCACTTAATCAACATGTTGGAAAGTATCTCTTGATTTCTAAATACCAGACTGAGTGATGAGGAATTACAGGAGGAGGGAAGACATCTTTCTGTAGGTTCATGGTTTTGTGGGAGAAACGAATGAATGTGATCTCAAGTTCTCAGTGCTCTGAGACAGAAACAGACATGGGAGGATAGAAGGGCATCAAAGTGAGTATGCAGTGAAGCTGGGGATCTTCTGGAACGGAGTAGAATTTGACAAGTGCTAACCATAAAGCTTTCTGACTTTAGGAACTGACAGATTACCCATGAACTTGTGGAGAAGGGTATTCCAGCCATGTGGAAAAGCATGGAGCATTTGGAAAACTGAAGATTTAGCTAACAGACAAAACAAGCACTGGGTTGCATGAATGTGATACTAGTAACCGAATCATGCTGTGTAAGGAGAGGGACCTTCTACTGAAGGCAAGAG